TCTCCAAGCTCAATAGAGATGTGGGGGGCGCGGGGGTGTGGGTGGGTGGGGAGGAGATAATGGCATCTAGTGTGGGGGTTGTAGACTGAACTCTGCCTCGCGAGACCCGCAGCGCCATTCGGGAACGCGACCCTGCCCCTCCCCGCTCCTGGAGCGTGACGCCCTCCTCCTTGCCCCGAGGCCTGTGGCGACTGGGTCCGTTGGGGGCAGAACCATGGAGGAAAAGCCTTTCAGAGTAAGAACGCTTCCCGGGCCCCCACACCCTGCGAGCCCCCAGACTGAGTCCAGCTTGGGTCCCCGGCTCTCCTCTCCCTCAGCCTTGGCCCCGGGGCAACTCCCAAAGAGCCCAAAGCGGAGCCTTGAGCCGACTCCACGGAGTCGTGGCCCTGGTAGGGCTCAGGATCCCCGTCCCCCCGGCCTGCTCTTCCTCTCCTTCCCCACTCCCCGCTGCCCTTGGCTTCCCTCGTTGTATGTGGCCCACAGGCGTCTTTGGGCAGCGGTGGCTCGGACACGTCCAGACCAGACAACGACATCCGGAATCTGTGGACCAGGGCCACGCTGTCGCAGTCGAAGCTGAATGTGCCTCTGCCCAATGTCTGCGAGGACTCCGACCTGGAGGACAGCAGCCCACACAGCAAGACTCGCCAGTGGCGCAACGAGAAGGCCCGCCGTGACTCGGACGGTGGTTGGGATCACGGAGAGTACAAGGGCGGTTTCAAGCAGGAGGAGCTGGAGGACCATTCCTTGTTGGAGCTGCAGCTCCGTCAGGAAAGCTCCCTGGGAAGCCATTTAGAGGAGGGGGACGTCGATTCCAAGACCGAGATTGGTCAGTGTGGCCTCACCAGGCTGTGGGTATCCACAGGGCAGGGGGTTGGCCAGGACCTCAGTATCTGCTGGTATAAAGTGGAGGGGAGGCGGGTGGGAAGCTATGGGACCCAAGTTTCCAGGATTCCCTTCCTGGGCGGGGCGCCCTCTCTCATCTTTCACGCTTTAAATCAATCATGCTTGGAGCGCCCCCTACTGGGAAGGCGTCATACAAGGTCCTGTGGCCCAGGCGCGCCAGGCCCGGGACAACCCC